CTACTACTACTACTACTACTACTACTACTACTACTACTACTACTACTCTACCTACTACCTACTACCTACTACCTTCTACCTACCACCTACTACCTACTACCTACTACCTACTACCTAGTACCTAGTACCTAGTACTAGTACTAGTACTAGTACTACTACTACAAGTACTACTAGTACTACTACTACTACTACTAGTACTAGTACTAGTACTAGTACTACTACTACTACTACTACTACTACTACTACTATCACTACTACTACTACTAGTACTACTACCACTACTACCACTACTACCACTACTACTACTACTACTACTACTACTACTACCCGACTACTACTCGACTACTACACGACCACTACGACTACTACGACTACTGCTACTGCTACTGCTACTGCTACGCGTCCTACTACTACTACTACTGCTACTACTGGTTCTACTGCTACTACTACTACTGCTACTACTGCTACTACTACTACTACTGCTACTGCTACTGCTACTCCTACTACTACTACTACTACTACTACTTCTTCTAACGTGAGACCCCGCGACGATTGAATCCTGCAGGTCTATAGTGGTTCTCCACGTTTCATCCTTTGCAGGTCTTACAGCATCAGCAAGAGTACCCGGCGGCCTCTGTCTGGGCGGGGGAGCCTCGGAACCGATGACATGAGGGGTGGGGTGGGGGGAGTGTTTTCTTGTTTCTTTTTTGGAATGTTCAAAGCCACAGGATCAACGGATCGAGTTAACTGGGCCTTCTCAGTGATGATGAGTTACATAGTTCGTGCAAAAGTAGGGCGTGAGCATGTGTGTGAGTTGCTTTCATGGGGTGACTTCTCTTGAAGCGACCACAATCCCAGATTTGTGTTGATCATGAATTTGAAGTGCAATGTAGTTGCTTGATAGGGTACAATTGTTTCTAGTTTTAGTTTTAAGTACTCGGTTTATTCAACCTTCGGTCGTGCCGGATAATTTGGATTCCATCCCGACCCGGCGACACACCAGGTCCAAGAGAGAGGGGGACAATCCGCTTGAGATGTGAAGGAGGTCAGCATTTTTTTGTGTTCCACATTGAAGGGAACCAAACTCGTGCATTGCCGGCGCAGTCGGCACACCTGATTCTCCTCCCTCAGTATCCAACCCCCCCTTGGTTGGATCCTTCCTATGGATCTGTGGACCCCCTTCAGGTCATGGCGGATCCGTCCATGCGCACGCACCCCACGGTCAAACGCCTGGAGAAGGAGTTGAAGGCGCTGGTCTTCACGGCCATGGACCAGGCGGCCGAGGGGCGTTTCTTCTTCGAAGCGGCAGAGAGTGGTGACGGGCGGACGAAAACAGAGGTCCGGGCGATCGTTTCTCTGAAAAGAGTCCAACAATGGTTCACACTCCAACCGCGGACGGTGGACCCTCTGACACCCTCTGACACCACCGCTCGTTGGGAGCGGTTTGACGTGCTCCCTGTGAGGCCAAGAAGGACGCGTGGCTCGCTGACTGGGTTTGGCTCCGTGAGGCCAAGCACCTGGCGATGTCCCCGAGCGCCTCGGTCAGTGTGATCCACAGGAGTCCACATTGTGCATTGGAAGAATGAGGGACACCACGGGAGACCCATTTGGCCCAAGGAGTTTTGATTCATTTCAGGCCGCGTCTGAGTGGCGACCCTCAGAGATGATCCTCTTCCTGGAAGAGGACCAATCGATCCAACTCCCTCTGGTCAAAAAGGAAGAGACCCTTTGAGTCAGACTTGAAGTCCTCGAAAATAGGGTTGTTTCATTTCCAGGAGTCTTGGGACTAAACATTTCTTGGTGAAACGCAGCTGCTCACGGATTCTAGCTCAGTCGGCCCCGGCCCGACCACTAAAAAGAACATCCAAGCCCCAGGATCCAACCAGGTTCTTTCCTTCCTCGGTCCTTGACAAGAAAACCATCTTCAAAACATTTCTTCAGACTGCCAGCAACCAAGAACCTTTCCCAACTTGGGGCCTGTCAAGGCACTTTGCTCGGTGACCCAGGCACCTTTGTCTGGTGGGCGGCCTTCCTGGGCGAGGCCATGAAAAACGGAGATGGGCGGTTCATTCGGCACACTGATATGGAATATATCCTGATGTGAGCTCATGTGGTTTTAGATATGTTTACGAATTTGCAACCTTGATTTGGGGGATTGGAACCCACTGACCAAGATTTGCCAAGTGAGTTGACACCACCAACCAACGGAATCACTTGGAATGTAGGTTGACCTCCTGTAGGTCGTCCAGTCGGTTCATGGTCCGTGGTGGATTTAACCAGGGTTGACCCACAGCCATCGGACTCTTTCCTGGAACGGGGAGCTTCAAGAGCTCGAGGCCGAGCGAATCTATGTGCCCATCTTGCCTGGCCTGGTGCTGGGGCTCAGGGGAGCTCAGGGGAGCTGTAGGGGGAGCCGTATTTAAAGTGCGCAGGTCGGCGAGTCATTTCTTGCGGCTGGAATCCGGTTTGAAGGAAAGCCGGGGCCGAAGCCACGCATTCCACAGACAAGGCCTTGCTGCTTGGGCTTTTCAGAAACTTCCATGTGGCGAGGGAAGGTTCAAATCTTCAATGGCCCAGACTTATCTGTATATTTATATATACTGTATGTATATATATCTATCTATCTGTCTGCCACTGTCTGCCTGTCTGCCTGTCAGCCTGTCAGCCTGGCTGTCTGTCTGCCTGTCAGCCTGTCAGTCAGTCAGTCAGTCAGTCAGTCAGTCAGTCAGCCTATCTATCTATCTATCTATCTATCATGACCTCTATATAGCTCTAGAAGCAAAGATCCTCGTCTTGCTCCTCATTTCCATGGCCTTATCCGTCTATTTTGCCAATGATCAGAGCCACACGCTTGCTTGCTCGCTTGATCTCGCTTCTTTGAGATTGGGCTACCCTGGTGCAAGCTTCTCCCAGAGGATCCGAGATTTCGGCCGGGCACTGAGTGAAGACTGGTGATGGAAGATCATCTCACGCCTTGGTTTCATAAGGGTCGACCCCTCACTTGTTACATGTCACAGGCAATGTGGGGCCACTAGGGCTTGCCCCAGGCCATGTGATAGGGCCTCAGATTGACCAGTGCGGCGGTGACAGGTGCGGCTCAGATGGTGTTTCAGAGCCACCTCTTAAACATGTTCTTCTATGTTTTTCATTTGTTCCGCAAGAAGGTGAACTTGGACGGAACTAACTGCATATTGAACTTTGTTGTGTCTCTGATCTGACGTTGGCCAGCGGTTTGGGTTTGGGTTCGGGTGGGGCCTATTAACGTTCTTGTCAATGCA